GTTAACTTGCGCATTCACGGTGGCATCAATAGTTAGAAGTTCTCGGCGCACAAATCATTTAGTATTCTGCCAAAAATTTAGAAGTACTGGACTTTAAGTGGAATTCTGACCGTCGGAGCTCTCAAATAGTTGGAGCAAGACCACTGTCGCTTGAGGGTTGGTCAGGGCACAATTCCCACTTCTCATAGCTGGTAACCGTGCTAGATAGTAAATGGAGGAAATGACGGGTAACCAAAGGAAACATAGAGATTTCTTTTCTAATCTCTTACATCTTGTGAGATGTCCCAGTGTAATCCTCTTGTCACATCAGAAGTGTTCTGCCCAACAACGCCTAAGCTGGTCCAGATTCCTTCTCATAAGTTATGGACCGACCTAATATTTTCTGGTGTTTTATTCTTCCGATTGATACAAACTTTATGGAGGTAGCATTTCGGTAGATCTCACTATTGCCCCTAATATCCACTTGGTTTCCAGAAAGATCAAAGAAAGCGATTGCTGCCAAAACCTCAATCCAATAAAGTTTGATCTGCTGTATGCCAGTCACTTTTTGCCGTAACATTTAATCTCACTACATTGTTTTTCAAGGTGTCTTTACAATGCTCGGGAAACACGTCTGGAAACGGCATCTCTAGATGAACGGGCATTGACAGCTCTGTCGATGTGGTGCATGGAGTTGAAGAGAATAGATTTTGATGACATTATTCACGAACATGAGGTGCCGTCCTCATCTCGACATGCTCTCCCTCTACAAACTGAGGACCAGGTGAGATGTATTACTGTAGGCAGTACCAGGCAGTGAACGCGATGGCTAGAAGGTGGAGTGCTTTTCGTGACGTCGTTGAGCGTGATTGCTGGTAAGGGCGTTTAGACGATCCCAACCACGCTCCCACCTCGTTGAGGCATTAAACCACTCCACCCTTGTGTTCACTGCCTTTGAGGCCCAGCTTTCGTTTTGTTACACTTTATTAAGTAGTATTCTTAGTATTTTTGATCAAAGTGATATTTAGTTTGTCGATGAATTCCGTACCGAAGTGCTTGGAGTGCTCGAAGCGGCCCCTCTACCTGTGGGTCCAGCATTGTTGAAATTGGCTGAAAGTGTGATCAAGTGGCAAACCAAGCTGCACAACAGACTGTACTCTCTGCCTAGGTAAGGAACACTATTTCCACTGGTGGAACTTATTCTACACATCCAGTTGCAGGCGATATCCAATTCGGTTGTCGAGCAGATTCCTCGCCGATTATAGTAGCGCTATGGCTTGCATCGAGATTCCGTCTTCATTTAACGCGAACATGACAAAGGTTGTTTTTTTTAGGAGAGGAGGGATTTCTGAGCTAGTGTATCCGTTTTGTTTAGCAATACCAATACGTAACGTTGATAGCAAGATTCAATCCTTACGTGGAAGTCGTTGTCAAAGGCGGTCGTGTCATGAAGAAATTGCAGATCATGGCAGTGAATGGGAAAGTAAGTCATGATGAGCTTATAATTTTCGACTCGTTAATTTTGTAAGAGAGTCACTAGCGAGCAGAAAGTGGATCTGCTCAGAAGGAGCAAGGGTCTAGCGCGAATTTCAACATATCTTAGCGGACCTCTCTGGCGCAAATAATTTGATGACACCCTCAGATCGTAATTACGCTTACACAATGATTTCTTGTTTTACGTTCGTAATCACCGCATTACTTTGATCGCTGACTAAGCTCTGGATTAGTAACCCAGCGTGCCTCTATAATGGGTCGCACCTTCACACGGAGGGGGCTCACTTACTCGGCCCATTTCCCATTTTTCATCTTTCAAGATTGTCCTTATATATTTTCGGAGGTCCGGAAAGAAGTGTGATCAATCCCAATAACGAGATATCGACTATTAATGGAAGAATTTATTGGGTTGGAGCGCCAAAGGCGCTATGGCTTAAGCTTGGGGACATTCAAAAACAGTGCGTTTTGAAATCATTGTAGTGACAACGGGATGTGAGTCCAGGAAGCTGAAGAAAACAATGGAAAACGAAGACCCCCAAAGAATTCCCTTTCCTTCCCTAAGGCTTAGTCCCAAGTTCTGTAAGTGGCTAACTCACCTTCAGTATCCCCCCTAACTAAATGAGCTCCCACCAATTTCCTTAGGCTCAACGTTTGTGTGTACTCAGCGCATTTCACTGGGATTAATGTAGTTTTATTCGTTAGTAAAGTCGATAGTTATTTGTTGCAGACGTGTGTTTACTATCTGCAGCGTTCTGTGTTCGAGGAGAAAACAAATCGTTGTCAGCAGTACTTGCAGATAGTGAAAACATTGCTTGTTAAGGAAAGGGTAAGATTTTCTCATTTCTTTGGATGCTTTGAAACCATCAGTTTGTCAGAAAACGGTTCTCAGGAAACCGCACGTCGTCATCTCTCCATTTTCACACCTACACAACTTGTCGTCTCGTCTAATGCTTTGTTAATGGATTGTGGAGGTAATACTGTGATGAGTTTCTTTCTATCAGTCAGGATTCATAGAGATACTTTTATTAGGCGCATATCCAATGAGTCTCGTCGCGAAGAAGCCGTATATATTCGATGTGATTCGACCCCTTGACGTCTTTGCGCAGTATGGAATGACCTTCGGAATGAGACCTGACGATGCAATTACGATGTTTTATGATCGACTGGTCACTCCAGAAGGATCTCCTCAAACAGTGATGCTTGACACGTACAGGTATTAATGCGAAATTCTTCGAAAAACTGGGCTGTATGCCTCATAAAGAGGATGAACCTCACTCGGTGTTGATCAATCCTGTTCTGGGATGCACCACGCATTCTACTTCTATTTGCGGTACTTTGAATGGATTGGCATATACAATGACTTGCGGGACCAGCACATGTATAAGTCTCTTTTAATTCTACCTGACAAGTCTGGGACCAAGTGGTCGACCCCGGAGAGAAGGCTCTGTTGGCTTGGACTGCTTACGACTCGAGATTTGATCCACATACCGCGCGCGTAATGTTACGCCACTTGCCACTACACTGCTTTCCTTGCGCAATATGCCACATAATCTTGGGATGTAAAAATAGATTCGTTACCTTCGATTCGATACCTCCTTATTTTTTACTATTTCAGAAGCTTCATAATTGACAATTTTGTTGGTCCATCTATACTGAAGAATTACGTGCTGGAACGTTTCACGGATGCAACTTATTACTATTTGTTCCGCAAACGAGTGCGTCGAGATTATTTTTCAGTTCTGATCTCAGAATAGCTTTTCATCGCAATTCAGGATTTAGCACTAGCAACATGGCGCGTTGCTAAGTGTTTTTTTTTTTCTTTTCTAGCTGGAGATGCCTTATACTTTATCTTCACTGGTTCTCGGGATGTATCCATCCGTACCATCAAGAACTGCCTCAGCTTGGCTGCCTCCCCGATATAAAGTTTTACCATTTGGTGAAGGTACCTCAAACGTTTTGCGACTTTCTCGATCCAGATATGCGGAATTATTTTGTGCTTTTCTTGCAGATTCTCAACGCATTGTTCCGTTCCGGCTAACACCGAATTTCCAGTGGTTCCTCGGGATGACGATTGAAGGTATTTGCCAGTTGAGAAAAAACGTATTACATACTTATTTTGCAGTTTCTGAATTCTTTTTTCTCATTGCTTATCGACTGCGCTATACAATCAGTGTGGGCTGCGAGTTAACGATATCGTGTTCATGGTCTACTTGTAAAGTAAAATTTTTTGTTGACGGAGCTGCGCTTTAAAGCAGTGCAGACAAGATTGATGCGGTAACGCGTCCCACTTTGCACACCATGCGGTTGCGCGTCTCTGCGCTAAATTTTGCAATTCAAGATGGCGTTTTCTTCTACTAGTAGGATTGCTAAAAGAGCGGACGAGGCGTTAGAATGAGGCTAAAGGTTGGGTGTGACTTGATGGATTTTGTGCGATGAAACAGCTAATTTAAAATCAAGGTAGAGGTGGCAGTGATGGCAGGGAAGAAAGAGAACGACTAGCAGCCGTAGAGACCGGGAAAGTGATTAGCTTTGTGTGTGCGCGTTCGTTTTGCGTGCAGAGATTCTCATCGGTGGGTGGGCTGGAAGCGGCGTCATCAACGGTAACGGCTCGGTAGGCTGGCAAGAGTCAATACGGTGAGTCAGCAAATAAGGGAGGGAGTGTTGTTGCGGCGAGTAGCCGCAGTACGGCCCTGCTAGGCCGCGTGGGGGCACACTTTGTCGCTGTGTTTTGATCTGTAGATATGTATAGCTCCGCAGGAGAGAGCATGGGCAATTTGTCACCTAGGTGATCTTTCCTCTTTGCGTCAACAGTTCGACGTTATGCGGTGTAACCTTTTGACACGTGGTTATTGTTGCGTCGGTTATGGTGGATGAAGCGAATGTCTAGTGTATTTTCGGCAGGAGATCTGTGAGGAGACGTGAAAAAAACTGCATTGCGGCGCGGTGCGGAGCGCGGGAACAAGCGCCCATGTCGTTATCAAGTAGAATCACTAGTCTGTGTTCCCATCAGCGTAATAACTCTCACGACTGCTCACTCTCGCATGGTAGAGAGTAGTGTCGAGGATGTGTCCACCACCATGAGCTCGCTTACCATGCTGAGAGTAAGTGCCGGAGAGTGACTATGCGCGCGGAGAGCAGCGAGACGGCGACGCCAGGCGACAGTTGTTGTTGATTGTATGTGTGTGTGTCTCTGTTGCGCGAAGAGAGCGCTGAATAATCCGGGTTAATTTTGTTGCCAAATCTATATTCTCAACAATTCGTGTCTGACCAGGCAGAGAATCATCGACGTGCCGTTGAGGAATCCTCAAGCGATATTCACCCTGGTTCCCACAATTTATTGTGTGTTTATTGCTTTGTAAGCGCCAATTTTTTTTCAAATCACCGCCACTTGATAGACATTTCGATATAGACGATATGACACCTTATTTATTATGCTAATGGTTTTTGTTAGGGGTGATTTCTTGTGGGCTGCTGCGGCAACTATACGATGTCTTTTCCGGCGGGATCAACATTTGCTACTTCGGCCGTTAATTCTGGATGAAATAGTAACAAATGGTAATCATGATCAGGTGAGTACTACCACTTTTAATACGTCGACAACAGCGCACATTTCGGCATTTTTGGCCATGCGGACAGCGTCATTTTACCAGTGCGGCCACTCATCTCACATCCGTAAATTTTGAGTGGTGACTATGCAAAACGCAAGATCATTTTGACAGTGCTCAACGTGTCGAACTTGAAAGAGGGTATAGTGGTGGAACATCTATCAAAGATATATTACGCATAAAAAACAAATTTTACTATTTTTCTCTGTAATATATGTAGGTGTTTTTTAACGTGGATGTGCCATGAGAAAAATCTTTTTTTTTCTATCCGTTTGTACTCTTCTTTAATTACACGTTCATGAGAATAGGAAAGCGTGTAGTAGTGAACTGGAGTGCGAATTTCGTTAGCGTTAGAACACTGCTAAACCGAAGCTATTTCGACACACGACTATTATATACAGTAGCGGTTCGATAGCAGGGTCAACCGTCCATTGGACTTGATTTAAAAAATTTTTACGACCGCTCTACCCCTTATAGATTGCTCGCATTGCGAACCCCGCTCATGTAGTCAACTTCACCACCCTCGCATTATAGAGCTATTCGCATTTCTGAGACAGTCGAACAACGCACCCCGCCCGCTTTTTTTCCTACAAAGCTGCCGTCGAGCGGGGGAGGGGGTATACACCTACCACGAAATCACAAACATCCTCTCACTTTCCCTCTATTTCACCCATATTTCCACTGCACATTTTCTAGGGGGCATACACACACCGTGCACAGCAAAATTTTAGCGCGCAACCAACATAGCATCATCGCTATGTCGTTACTAGTTAACATTAACGCTACTCGCAAAAAAATAGCGATCCCCCCACTCTCCCACCCTCGTTGGATTCCGTTCAACGTACTGGTTAAACCCTGGTTGAAAGCGGATTCGCCCGAAACGATTCAGAAACCTCGGTTGTTTTTGCCAGAAAAAAACCGATGGGTGGCCTCGAATTTTTTCTTCTGAGAACATCCTGATTCTTTAAGGCTTGAGGATATAAAAACACTAGAAAACATAGTATATCAATCTTTGGAGGGCGTTGCTCAAGCGAGAAAAAAAATAATGCACTAAAAATCGTTTCGGCGAACACTTTTGACCGCTACTGTATGTAAGTGTGATCTATGGAACGAATATAAACGATTTGGGAATAAATCGCGGCCACTGCGCAGGGGAAAGGGGGAATGACTGGGTGGGACGGCGCAACCGCTAGCGTGTGAAGGCTGGGACGCATTACAGCGTAGGCGAACTTATCGTCATTGTGTTAAAAGCTTTCTGGTAATTGGAACTGCGTATTTCTAGGCAAGCGCTTGCGTCGAGGCGAGTAAATTCATCTCAAAAGTGACTGCTGAAACAACTAGTGAGTTCCTTGCATTTCTGTTTATTCGTGTGTTCATAAAGATTTTCTTTGTAATTTGTATTATCTTTCGGAAAAAAGTGGAACAACTCCTTTTCAGGGATGGCCACACAGGAAGCATATTTACTGCAAGAGGAGATACAGTTAGCAATAGAGAGCGCTCGCAATGAAGAGAATCTTTCCCAAATGGATCCCCGATGGCATCCGTGGTTTTAATCGAAATGTTGTGTGATAGATGTGGTACAGGTGTTAGGGAACATTGCGATCGTGTCAAAAGGTCATTTATTCATAGCGGGTTTACGATGTGACGAGTTATTAATTATGAATTTTGAATATTTATTGTAACCATGTATAATGTATGATGAGCTTTTTGATTTGTTGATTATTTTGTGTTTTGAATTTTTTAGGATCTCGTGTTATAAGCGGTCCCTGCTGACACCGGGACGTTAATAAATCTCTTTATCTTTGTGGTTTGGTGCACTTTTTGCTGCGCTTATAGCAAAGGCAATCCAACTTTTCCATGGTATACGTAAGTATAGGGCTTCGTAATAAACGTCTGTACCATTTGTGATAGCAAAATGTTGCGGTAAAATTGTTGTGGAATGTCGTACGATTGTCGGTAAAGTTGTCGTACGATATAGGGCTTTGCTACGATGACTTGTGTGACTTTCGGATGTGAAAGCTAGTCAGTAGTTGGTTCATTCTTACGGACAAGTCTGGGACCAAGTAGATGAGTGCGGAGGACTGACTTGGTCGGACTGGTCTCTAGATTGGGGGGATAGGTTGTGAAATGGAGCGTTCATAGTTGGCGATCGTACGTGCGATTAGGCGATTAGGCGATTAGGCGATGATTCAAAATGAAAAGTATACGTATCGATTAGGCGATAGGCGATTAGGCGAGTAGGCGAGTAGGCGATAAGAGAAGGATGTGTATTGATTTGATTGCTCCGCCCATCGAGCGATCGCCTAATCGCCCTATCTGTACGTACATTTTTCGTTATAGACTAGTAGCTGATCGCCTACTCGCCTGATCGCACGTGCGAACGCTCCATAAGGAGGCTGCGATATTGTCGAATCTTCCCATTCACGCTTTTATCATTCTGAGTGGAGGTTCCTGCTGAAGGTTGTTATTCTGATGGAATTCTCATCCCAAAATAGCGACCTTAAAATGGTGCCAAGGGTCTTAAAAACGGGTGGATATGTGGGTAATTGGCTGGAAGTGGGGCGGTGGCAATGGCGTCACTTCTTACGTTTGCTGCTCAGGGGTCAAATCTCGTTTCGGATCTCGCCGGGGCCAACAAAGCCTCTCATCCTTTTGGGTTTTTCGGGTTCGCTTAATTGATACCAGCCTGGGAGGGAAACCCGGACTTGTGCGTCGTCTGGCCACCGCAAGTTATTGTATGGGCCATACCGCATTCAAATGCTGCTACGATTCCGTGGGGGCAAAAATCATGGCGCATTTCAAAAGAGACTGATCAGCGCTGGGAGCATTGCCCTTTATCCTTTTTGTGTGGGTAATTTGACATTACTAATTATTTATTCGTTGTTACAGTATACAGTATAAATTACCATACTATCGTCTATTACTCTTTTTAGTATGTAAGTAGAAATGAAAGTTAGAGGGTGACAATCCAGTTCGAGCAGCGATTGTCCTGATTTCTTATG